TGATTTTATGAAAACATCTTCTGATTAAAAATAGAAATAAATACTTAGGAAAATCACTTTTTTGGGGAGAAAGGAGATTCGAATGAAAACAAGAAATTTCTCCTCATGAAGGAAAGACGACTTTAGGTTCTAAAATTTTATCTACAACAGCGAAAAAGCTTTAAAATTTACAATTAAAGGGTTTAAAGGGACTTGAGATGTCACTTCAAGTGCCTTTCCATTCACATTTCCGATTCACTACTGTACACCGGCAAGGGCGTACAAGAGATAAGTCAGGGGAGCAAAATATGCGCGAAGTGAAAAAAAATGTTTGGCCCCCTAAGAGCTCCTATGGGGGGGGGGGCTAAATTTGAACTGTAAATTCAAAACATTTTGCTTCTTGGATAGTTTTAGTGTGTTATAAGCACGAAAATGGTTAATTTGATTTTAACTCACATGTTTAAGTAAGTCCTAGAGGAATCCACTTATATAAAAAATAACAATCTTACAGCTTAACATATTTTACGGCTTTTATCAGAAAATGTACAAAAAAGTTTTTTAAAACGATTTTTTAAAACTTCGAGGCTCGGCAGAGTTTTCGTTTATAAGCTACAAACACACAAATAAAGAGGCAAGTCAAATTTATATATATATAGATATATTGCACAAAAAGAAATTTTGTCTATATTAAAATTCAAAAAAGAAAAATTTTTTGAATCGATGAACTATTTTCTCTTCCTTATTCAACGCCTCTGCCAGTTCATCAAAAATGCCATTTAAAACATACTGTGAGATATATTTAATATATCATTGTTGCAATATTTTTTTGTATTCAAATCATTTTCCTTTTCATTTCAGCGACCAATTCCTTTAAAGTAAAAAATATAAATACAAACCGGGTAAATGTATGGCATGATTATTGGGTAATCATCCTCTACAAATGAAGAGAACATTCCCTTATTCCTGAACAGTCATCATATAATATTAATGATAATGATGATAATGATGATAATGATGATAATGATGATAATGATGATAATGATGATAATGATGATAATGATGATAATGATGATAATGATGATACCTGTTAATAACCTCTAAGGTCTGTATGCCTGGAATACCGAACATGAGTACTGAAGTAAAAATAAGAACGGTATCGAAGCTTGCTGAAAATAGATAAATAACTTTAGTGTTAATGGAAGTAATTATAGCAAAATTCTTATTTATTTTTTTGCAACCCTTGAATCACCTAGCAAGGGACTGTAAGTGTAATTTCAAGTGACACCCCCCTCAATGCAAAGATGGCAAGGCCCGACTTAAAACGTCACCCTACAAAAGCTTTGTCTGAATTAGATATTCATGTTTTCGTATCTTCAAACTGTTTATTTTTATTTGTGGTTTCTCTGTGAAATCGACATAATTTCTTGTAAGACTGTACAGTACACTGTACAGTCTCCTTGAATGTACTGACTGTACAGTACACTGTACAGTCTCCTTGAATGTACAGGCTGTACAGTACACTGTACAGTCTCCTTGAATGTACAGACTGTACAGAACACTGTACAGTCTCCTTGAATTTACAGACTGTACAGTACACTGTACAGTCTCCTTGAATGTAAAGACTGTACAGTACACTGTACAGTCCCCTTGAATGTCTCCAAAGTTGTTTACTGACCTAGTCCCAGCAGAATAAAATTGAGAGAACTCTTCATGGAGGGCCTGCAGCAAATTTCATATTTATTTTATTTTATATTTTATTGAAAACTAGCTTTAAAACCCAGCTTGGCCTGGAAAGTTTTTCTATAAAACTCAAGAACTTCATTCCCGTGGTTCTAACAAGCTCACCAATAAATATTTGAGGAAAATCGGTCCCGAGGTTCAGCTGAGTTATGATCAGACAAACAAACAAACAAACAACACCAAAACAGTCTGTATTAAAGCGACTGTAAACGTAATTTCAAGAGACCCCCCAATGTCCGATTCACAACGGTTCCCTTTAAATCTTTGTTTAGTCAAGAATCAGATATCTATTTTTTGTTTTTAAAATTGTTTATTTAAGTAACTTGCGCATTGCTTTGCGCATAAACAATGCAGAATTGATCAGAAATGAAGACTTTTCAAGCAAAAACATCCGACTTAATCTTCCAAATTGTTGAATTATATTATTGAATTATTAAAGGTATTAAAGGTCTGAATCTGGCATGCTTGAAAGAAATAGAGGTCATATAAAATAACGACAAGAGAAAAATTTTTGCTTTTTGTTTAGCGAAAATTTAGTATTTTTTCGCGAAACAGATTAATGCGTAAAAAACGAAATTTTTGCAATTTTTCGCGAAATTGTCGCATTTGATTTTCTCATGAAATTCCGCAACGTTTTCGCTTTCTTTAGAAAAAATTCATTTTCACGAAATTTCGCTAAAAAGTTCGCGAAAAACGAAAGAATTTTTTCGCGAAATTTGTTTTAGCTGGAAACCCTACAACAGTCCCTTAAAGAATAATGGATTGATGAAATATAATCTCAATGGCAATGTAATTTCAATTTTCAATGTTTCATTTCAGATACATACAAAGAAAGTAATCGGCAATTTGTGAATTTCTCTTGAGTTGACAATGAACAACTTTTTTAGAGAAATCAAATTCAAGGTCAGAGGGGGNTTGTAGATATTACTTATACAACAAATTGTTCAATTGAAATAAATTTACGCAGAATAAATATTGTGTGGGCAGGAACTTGCAGTTATGTTCAAACTGTATTTATTACGTACGGCCCAGAAGAAAAACCTTAGGGGTCCATGTATATACGTAAAAGAATTTTTTGTTTCTTGAACAATATTAACTTCTTTTTTAAATGAGATGTTCGAATTTTCGATATGTTTTACACCAACCAGAAGGATCAGACGACAACATCTTACATAAATAACCGCTTCTGAAGCACATTTTCAAGTTTTTGAACGTCTAAAAGGGCTAAAAATCCCCTAATCCCTGTTATTTCTGGGTTGCCCTGTATTTGCTGGAAATGAATGTTTGTTCAAATGACAAGCTTACTTCTATGTAACTAGATAACACATATCAATTTATTTCCTATTTTTTTTTTGAAATTGTCGACATCGAAAAAACTATTTGGGTCAATACTATTTTTCAGTAAATATGAGTTAACTCTAACATCGAAATCAAATGCAAAGCTGAACTATGATTTTAGTTTTTCTACTTAACTCACCCCCCCCCCCCAAAAAAAAAATATGAAAATTATTCCTAAACTATCCCATCGTTAACGGAGATATATTCTGAACACAAACAAAGCTTAGAAGAAAACACTTAGAATCTCCCAGTAGACAGAATGTAAATAAACAGACAACAAATGTTCACTTAGGCCAGACATTCAAAATCAAAATATTACATTTCAAATTCTACAAAAAAAATGAAATTATGGCATTATGCAAATATTTTTTTTAACCTTCGTGTGAAAGAAACATTCAAAACAAAAAACTTAAAATTTCCCGAACACTTTTCTAATCCCATAATTTAGGGTTTCCAGCGAACGAAAAATTTTCGCGAATATAAATGAAGCGAAAAATACGAAAACGAAAGGAAATTTCACGAAAAAAAAGTTTCGCGAAATTATATTTTCAAAATGTTGTCTTTTTTGATGAACTGTCGCAAAAATTTTGCATTTCAAAAAATGAAGTCCGCATATCTTCGCGAAATTTTTCTTTTCTTTTTTCTTTTTTCATCATTTTTTTGTAAAATTTTTGCGAAATTTTCGCATTTCTTATTTCTCGGAAATTTAGCACAGACCATAAAGATTAAATAGTCAAAGTTTAAAATATAAAGGCATGCACTTAGGCAAGTGTTAAGTTCCTTTGTGAAAGGGCCCCGAGCTTTTTTCTTTTTACCGCCTTTTGGCCAACATTACTTCCCCAAAATCGGGGTGTTATTTCACTAAATTGTATCTATGAGATGTTGCGAAGTAAATTAACATCCCGCTATTGAGGGAATCATGGGTCTGTAATGTAGTAATTATTTGCAATTACTTTTCAGGGAAGTTATGGATGCTACGCTCAGGATGCTCAGGATGCTAAATTGGTCTAGGGAACTAAAAAAGACTACGTAACGTTGTAGAAAATTGACCTGGACAATATTATGATTGTGATGAAGTTTCCAATCAATCCTGCAGATACAAAATAGAGAAATTACAACAATAATTTTGAAGTTTTGTACAATAGAACTCTTAATTTCCGTTTACAGGGGAGGGGGTCTTTATGTTTCTGTAGACTTAAATTTAAAATACAAAAGGATATTAAATCAAACATACAAAAAAAATCCAAGATCTTGCAAAACAAAATTATTGAAATCCACAAAATTGAATTTATCTGATTGCGTAACAATACTCTGTCCTAATTTTTAAATAACTCTCCATTTATGTCCTTTAAACCTTTAAACCTTTAAACCTTTAAACCTTTAAACCTTTAAACCTTTAAACCTTTAACCCTTTAAACCTTTAAACCTTTAAACCTTTAAACCTTTAAACCTTTAAACCTTTAAACCTTTAAACCTTTAAACCTTTGCCTATTTATCAAAAATTGAGGTATCTATAATCTATATTATTTTCTCCTAAAAATTAGTTATTTGTAATTGCAATGTCTATTCACAAAATGATTGGTGGATTTATATGTTACAGAAAAAATTCCGGAAATATTAAAATTAAACACTTTTAAACTAGAAAAAACAATGGTAAAATAAAGATTTCTTTTGATTGGAAGTTTCAAGTCTCTTACATAGATTAATAACAATACAGATAGAACACTAGATGTTATCTTTTCAAGATTTAGGTTTTTACTATAACCCCGAGGCAGAAGCCCATTGGAGTTACGTGCATGCTCTCTCTCTGTCTTCAATGCGGCATGCGCATAACTCATTTGGGCTTCTGCCTCAAGATTATTGTGAACGAAAAACGAAAGCTTGAAAAGACGACATCTACTGTTCCATCTATATTGTTATACATCTACGGTCTTAAACAAATAATTCCTGTCTGTTGTAAAGTTGTATTATCTGTATTCCTAGTATTCCAACAATATTGAGGAGTACTCCTGGAACCCAGAACTCAAACAAGCTATCAGAAATTATATCCTGAAGATAAAAAGGTATCAGAAATTATATCCTAAAGAAAAAAAGGTATCAGAAGTTAAATCCTAAAGATAAAAAGAGAAGCAAATTCCACATTTTAAATATATTCAGATATTTAGTGAATATTATGAAAAAACCGTTGCAGATAATGAAAAATATTGAAAGGCGGGGTAATACCTGAGTACTCCAAAATATAATTGATTTTCTCATTTTTACCATTGGGAAAGTAGCCTTGGAATGTTGCCCTTTAGAAAATGCCCTTGAAAGGTTGTACACAGGAAATTATACTCTTGAAAAAGTACACTTAAACATACTCCTAGGAAAGGAGTTCATAATATCCTAGGGTGTAATGCAAGGAAAGTTAATTGCGGTCGTGTATACTCTGCGTACATATTGCAACCAGTTCTCTTTGGGCGGAATTTGTAAACAAGAATAGATGCATCAGTGTTCGTTTAGTATCCGAGGAGGTTAAAAGCATTACATTTGATAATTTTGATAATTCACATAATAGTTTCCTATGACCAGAATATTTCATTGATTTTTTTATGTGAAAGATGGATCCCATGTCAGGCTTCGACATCCGTCTTGTGTTTACATTACCGCCCAGAGACAGTACACTGCAGTACAAAAGATGCGTACACTTCTGAAATAACTTTCCTTGCATTACATCCTAGATAATATCTGTCCCACGAAAACAAGACAGTTAATGAATAGCTTTAAAGGTCTTTTTCCATAGATTGTTGTTTGGTACCATAGAATAAAATAAAATATCATATTTAGTCATATCTTAGTATAATTTTTTTCAAAGTAAAATATTTTTGAGAACAGAATTTTTACGAGAAGTCTTAAAAATCTAATACAGTATATGGAAGATATGGAAGAAGATGAAATATCTAATACATACATGGTATAAGAGAGAAATGGAAGATATGGAAGATATGGAAGATATGGAAGATATGGAAGATATGGAAGATATGGAAGATATTGAAGATATGAAAGATATGGAAGAAATGGAAGAAGACGTTTAAAATTATTCACCAACTGTCATGTTTCGTGGGACACCCTTTACTAGCTTGGGAACCCGGCTTTGCCTTCTCTCTTAAAATCAAATCGCTCAACTAAGAACTTTTTTACTAATGTAAATACATTCTTGTGGTTCTACCGAGTTCCCTGATTCAAATTTGATTCAAATCGGTGCAGGCAGAGGTTCATAAGTTATGATCGGACAGACAAACCGAGATAACTTCTTGGTACAAAAAAAAACAGATACCTGATGGTGATTTGAAGTGAGATTGATTGATTGATTTGTAAATTGTTTTGACATTTTATCCATTTATCTGAAATAATTTCTGCCATGTTGGATTTTATTGACCACCAATAGAATTCATGTTGTAGAAAATAGAAGATAAAAAGGAAAAGAACATATTTTGAGTACTCTTCGAACTTTAAAACTATTAATTTCTCTATGGTTTCTGAAGCAAGAAATGGTAAGTCACTTTTGTATAGAAACCACAACTAAAAATAATCAGTTTTGAAAAACAAAACCTGAATATCTAATTCATACTTGACGAGACAAAGCTTTTAAGGGAACACTTGTGAACTGGACGCGGCACTCTAGCAATGGAGGGTCACTTGGGAACTGGACGCGGCACTCTAGCAATGGAGGGTCACTTGAAATTACGTTTACATACAGAGTGTCCCAATAAAAATGGGAATTCAGTGACGAATTCGATATCGTCTTTTTAAATATTCTCTGATTTAGTATAGTGATACCTTCTGAGAAAGCTGTAATCCGTAAGATTTTCGTCTGCTGTTTACAATTTGTTTGTTTATGTTTTGACTGCATACGATTGTACTTAGTTAAACAAGAAAATTGCAGTATATATACAAACAGAGTAAACTTGTCCGTCTTCACTGTTCATCTTGCAGAGACATTGTAGACACTCATTACCGTTTTCATTAAATAATCTCTAGCAGACATAATAATCTTATGGCTTTTGAAATTAAATATTGCAATGCTAATTCATAACAAAGACGATATCCAATTCGTCACTGAATTCCCATGTTTATTGGGACACCCTGTATATTAAGTTTCTATTTCCTCTCATGGTTTTATGTGTACAAATACAAATATGAATTTATTTTTAAAATCCTTTGAATAGAAAAACGTATTTAAAAAATAAGGATATGTAATACAGATTATTTAGATCTCTAAGCAGGGGCGTTTAAAGGGACTGTAAGCGTAATTTCAAGTTACTCTCATGTCCGATGTACAGTAGTATGAATTAGATATCATTATTTATAATTTTGAAAACTGATCATTTGCAATTACAAAAGTGACTTACGATTTTTAGTGCAGGATAACTTGTAGGAATTAAACACTTTTAAATCTAGACACTTCTGTCAATATTATTAATCATGTAAAGGTAATTCAAGGGTACCTTTATGAATCAGACATGGCTTTATTTGCACAGAGAGTCACTTTAAATTACGTTTGCAGTCCCGGGGGGATATAAAATAACGAAACATTGGAATTAAACTTTGTATCTAAATAGCAAATAAAAATGTTTGAATGATTTTTAAACTTGTAGTTTTTTTCAACAGTTTTTGTCTTTTTGAAGTATACTTGCAGACTGCAGTGCTATTTAGATTTTACAAAAACATACGATTTCTTAAAGTTGTTCAGCTAGACCAATGAAAGTATATGAAAGGTAAGGGGGATAGAGGTTCTTTACACTTTTCTTGTGAATTATTGGGACAGCTCAAAATCTAGTTTTAGGTCAAAAATATCAAAAAAAAACTTTGTAAACAAAAGTCGAATTTTTTAAGACAGCTGATACAGGGTGTCCCACGTAACATGACAGTTTCCATAATTTCCATAATAATTGATACCAAAGAGCAAAATAGTACACGGCAGTCATATTATAGTGAAACTGATTTCGAAGTTAAAAAATATGTGAGTAAAAGATTTTATCAACGAAATAAACTTTAAAAAGTGTTTAATATCCAATACAGTTTATGGAAGAAGACATTCAAAACTATTCACCAATAGTCAAGTTTCGTGGGACACCCTGTATAGGAGAACGAATCCCTGGTTTTTAATTTCGGAGCTAGTTTCTGAGCAGAGTCCGAATACAGGGTTATTCCTAAAAGATAAGACTTCAGCGACGACATTACGGGATTTCTTCCAATTTTCCCCTCCTTCCTTGGTTGTATGCAATGCAATTAAAGTTCGCATAATGTGATTAAAGCAAAATTACCGAGAATACAATTTGGCAATCCTCTCTTTTAGCCAATCTCGAGTTATCATAATCTCGAGATTATGTTAGTCTCGAGATTAAATATTTAGATCAACAAATTTGATTCTAGGAACGCCAGATTTGTTCGTTTTCTTGACTGGAGGAAGGGTCTTCACTTAATTTACGACTATATTCCTGCACTCTCATTGAAAAAACAAATATCGAAAAAAAACAGATATCGAAAAGAGTGAGAAAAAGAGTGGATTTAGGACTAAAATTAAAAGTTTCTTTAAAATTCGGTGATGGTGATGGACCAAACCTCTGTAGAGTAAAAAAGTAGATGATAGTTCCACATTTATTGAAAATATATTTCGGTCTGGGTTGACCCTCGTCAGTTCTAACGATATAAAAACATTCAAAATCGGTAAAAAAAAATAAAAGGAATTTTTGTTAAAAATCACAAGAAAATAAACGAATTAAAAAGATTATTCAAAATAAAAATTTGGGCTGTCAAATGGACATAAGGGAAACGAACTCAGATTATAAGATGAAAAAATGGTAATTTGCAAATATTCACTTTAAAAAAATGTTTTAAGACAATTATTATTTCTTGAGATTGTTTAAAATTAAAAGTTTCCAGAATGGATATTCGGATTAAGTAGTTGGGATTAAAGATTATCTGTTCTAAAGTTCCAAGCTTTGATCATTTTCTATTGAGGATGCATGTATAAGAAAAGTAAATAACTCCTAATAAAATACAGATGAAAATTGATAATATTAAAACAATTAATTCTACCCCCATCGAAATAGAACTTATAAGTGAAGTAAAAACCTACTACTAACTTCTTTGAGTTCTTTGGTTTTACCTTCCATAATTTCTAAAAATTTTCATCTTTGACGATATAGAAAACTATCACAACACCATTTTTTTATCTGTACTTGTAAAACTCGAATTTTCTTTTATAAATCAGCATGTTGACCAGGGTACATTTTTAACATTAGCCTCGAATTGACTTGAAAACTATTAAAAACTAATTAAACTATTATATATAATACCAATATAATATTAAATTGAACATTAATTACTATACCTCTCATGAAAGATTTAGTATTCTGTTATTGAATTTTTGTAATATTTTTGTTATATTCTAATATCTTTATGTTTGCAATATCGATCTATCAAACATAACATTATTAAACGAAATCATGAACCGAAAGTTAGGACCATCTCACACATTTTTATAAAGTAATTAAATCTTTGCCACAAACTCAAATTTCTAAATCATCCAACTTTGCAACCTCAAGCTTAGACTATTTGTTTTAATAATTCGTAGTTTAAGATATCTAAGATCTACGACATTGAGGGATTAAAAAATAAGTGTTGGTGGCTAAAGCTCAATTTCGTTACCATTTTTTAACATTCTATAACATCCTCTAACATTCTATTAGAAATTACGAATAAAGTATTCGCAATTGCTAAATGTTATTGGATTCTTATCTAATAAGTTTTAAGGAGTGTAAAATATGTTTAAGAGCTGTGCCCAGAGATATATCTGTGCGCATTTATGTGATCAAGTGAACTGTGTGCAGTGTGGGTGGATTTTTATTGAATATCGAACCATTTAATAGACCTTTGTCAAGCTTACACAGGGGCATTTCTTGTAAACCAGGGCGGGGGGTAACTCTACAGGGGTGTTTAGACCTTTGTCAAGCTTACATAGGGGCATTTCTTGTAAACCAGGGGGGGGGGAACTCTACAAGGGTGCTTAGAC